CATATAACCATGAGTATATATGATCAATACACTGCTCAAGATTGAATAAATTATTTAATGTTTCCGGTTTTAAATACAATGACTTGTTGAACAATGTAAGCTGTATAATGGTATCGCCATGCATCATGCGGCATTCCACCGACAAATCTCGAATCCATAATAGCGAGGAATTAGATGATTCCACATATCGCTCGATGTGTGCACGTCTATATATAATCTCCTTCCAGATTTCATTTGGTAATATCAAATGATTGCCTCGATTATTGCCAAGAACAAGTTCCACGTAGGATGCAGGTCCTACACTGATTCCAATTTCTAAGTATTTATATGATGTAGTTGTTAGCATATATCTCCTCCCTAAGATACGAGCAGGAATACATGGTTTTTCAGTAGAAACGCTGTAAAGAAAAATTTAAGAGAAGTTTTTGTTAAATATTCAAATCTCAGAAAGAAAGAGATTATATTGCATATAAATTGGGAATAATACTAACCTTTCACACTTTATTTTTTCGCATTGTGAAGCCTGTTCAATAGGCAAGAAATAATTTGCACGTTTGGTGTTAATTTCCGCACCAATGGTATACATCTCGAACTATATGTAAAAAACTACCGTCGAGTCTTGTCGTCACGAAGCAACTGATGGAATGCATGAGCACCTCAAAAAATATATAGAGAGTTCCCCACCAAGTTTATTTTCCCCTCCCTTTTTTATTCTTCACGGATGTCAACTTTTGCAACGCACATACCGATAGATTTTTCTAGAAAACTTAATAATAAATCTCTAACACGGCGTCGTAGCCGATCAAGTAAGCACTCACACATTACTGAGATAGCACCAATCATCATAGCGTAGAAGACAAAAAAAAAATGATGTGCGGTATAAGGACACACGATATATTTATACGAATATTTATATTTATTTGAAAGAATCACTTTTTAAAGGTTACTATTATTTTTTCGACACGTTGCTACATGTTGCGTACACGTTAAGCGCTGATGGATTCGTTATCAGAGGACGTATGCATAGGTTTGTTACGAAGAAGGCTGATAAAACCTTTTTTTATCGAAACTGTTGTCGAAAACCTTTTTTATTGAAACTGCTGTCGAAAACCTTTTTTATCGAAAACCTTTTTTATCGCAGCTGCTGTCGAAAACCTTCGCTAAGCGCTTATAGAGATACTTGGATTTGTTATCAGAGTACATTGTAAGCTTTTTCCCGGATGGGTCGGCGATATTCTCAGAGTCTATCACCGCACCTATTTTTTTCTCATTAAAAGAGGAAATATAAGGCAGGAACGCAAAGCCAGTTTGTACCAGTCAGTTTGTGCCAGTCAATGTCGGTATATTAAAAAGCGAAAGATCATAGTAGGTTGTTCAAGCGAAGGCATTGCGCAGTGATCAGTAAGAAAAAAGAGTTAAATAATGAGAAAAATTGGATGAGAAGTGTTTAAAAGATTTTAGAAGATTTTAGTAGTTTTTTTAGAAGATTCTAAAAAATGGAAGTGGATGATGTTGATGTGGACAATGATGTGGACAATGATGTTGAAGTGGACAATGATGTTGAAGCTGACAATGATTTTGAAGCAATAATGGATTCATCCGATTCATCCGATGATAGCTATATTCTTATAGACGATAGTGATGTTCTCAGTGACTGTAGTGATGACTTTAGGGAAAACAAGGTTAAAGCGATGTGTAATGCGGAAATCAATGCGCTGAGTGGACAAACAAAAATGTGTTGCATCTATTTTTTCTACACTACAGGAAGCGGCGGCGGCGCAGCGTTCTGTGCTTCAAGTATGGTGCGACTGACATGCTTATTCACACACATGTATGCCGTTCGAAAGCATCTGATTGAAAGACACGATACGATAAACGGAAAATTTTGTGCGAATTGCAATGGATCATTCTTTCAGATACTTCCGTGCAATTTGTGTCCTGTATGCATACAAGCTTATACACACACATGTGAAGACTATTTGCTTTAATCGGCTATGAAAAACTTGAAAGATAATTTTGACAGTGTTTTAATGAAAAAAATGGAAAAACTCGTGCGAACTGAAGGTGAACTGTGGGATCAATCCGCTCGATTGAGTTCGCGAGACGAATACAACGTGTGAAAGGAAAAATGTGATGAATGCCTCGAGNGAAAAACCTGAAAGATAATTTTGACAGTGTTTTAATGAAAAAAATGGAAAAACTCGTGCGAACTGAAGGTAAACTGTGGGATCAATCCGCTCGATTGAGTTCGCGAGACGAATACAACGTGTGAAAGGAAAAATGTGATGAATGCCTCGAGTCGTTGGAAGGACATAGTCGAGCGAAACGACCGAGATTATCGATCGATGTTCAACAATCGTTGATCGCTCGAATTGCGCGACTCGAAGGACTAAAACATTCATTGCGTACGCGTTTTATACATACAGGCGCCGGACATTCAAACGCAGGACTCTTGTGGCGTGAAATAGACACTCCTTTCAATAGCCGCGTATTAACTGGTGCAGTTATAAATGTAAATTTTATCGAACCTCTCCGATTTCTCCAGAGTGCGAAGGACATAGTGCTTGAACATGTGCAAAACGCTAGGGAGAGACACGCAAGTGTGAAAGTGAACACTGCATTTAACGGTGAGTTTGTCACGGGTGATAAACGCGCGAACGATAGTATTATCACAAAAAACTTTGAACTCTTCCGCGCATCCGATCTCGAAGAGTGGTATGAGCGACGTGTTATCGAGCCCACTTTAGCAT